ATCCTCCTCCTCGCCAAGGTCTTCAGGCCGGAGGGGTGGAGCGTGGCAGTCTTGGTGGTAGGGGACGCGACATTTGTCACAGATTGCAATGTCATTCTCGTCCGTCGCCTCCCCCCCCCCGCATACAGCGCAGGTGGCCTCCTCTGCCTCCCAGTCACTGTCTTCCAGAGCCTCCTCTTTGTAAAGGTTCAACAGCTGTGCCATAGACTCGCGGAGTTGACGCTTGGCTGTCGTCAATTTGGCCTCTGCCTCCGTCCTCGTTTGGCGCAAGGGGACATGCCGCTCGTCCGCCTCCACGTTGGCTGTGCCCGCCCACCGATCCGAAAGGGCCTTGAGCGTGAAGAGATTGTCCCCCAGTGCCTTCAAATGCCTTTTGGCGCGTTGGCCGAGGATATCTTCGGGCGCTTGTACCGTTACGACCCCTTTCACCCAGGCCCTTCGCTTTCGTCGCATCCTCTTGCGGCCTGCCCTCGCCTCTGTGGGAAGCTCTGCACAAGATTCCTGCGTCACCACGCGAAAACCATCCTTTCCATAGACGCGTCGATCCTTTCTGGCCAGTCTGCTTGACCTCTTTACTCTCGTCCTTGAGCGTGTTTGCAGCGGAGGGAACGAATGACGGCGAGGGTGAGGGCGCTCATCCGCCTCCGACTCCTCCTCAAGCGGCGGCCTCTTCTCCTTCTTCCTCCCCCTTCCTTCCTTCTTCCCCTCCTCAAACATGCGCATGGAGTGCGCATGAGAATAATCATGTTTGTCATTCTTATGACGCCTTCGAGTTGTGGAGGCCTCAGCCCCTTTGCTGGGCGCGGACTTGAGGCGAGAGTCCTGCGCGGCTCGTGGATCCCCTGCCCGTGATCGTGTGCTCCTTTTGCTAGCACCTGCTTGCCTTCCTGACCTTTTTCCTTTCCCTGCGTTTGATTGCTCTCCCTTCCCATCTTTCGCGTCGTCGTGTTGTCCCTCCGATCTGTCATATCCCTGTTTGTTATATACCTGCCTCCCCAGGGCTCGTTTTCTCGACGGGAGCGCCCATCTGGTCGCCTCCTCGTCTACAACCCCCTCCGCATTGTAGTGACGCCGTCCTTTGAGTGCCAGCCGCAAGGAGTGCTTCTCCTTCTGCTGCCTCTTATTTCTGCGCTTTCTCTCTTGTTGACGTGCGGAGGTGCTTGGGCCCATATCGCCACGATCCTTCCTCTCCGTGCTCAAGGACTTCGTCGACCGGACTGGCCTTTCGTCAGGCCCCCTTTCTTTCACTTCAGCACCAGCATGGAGCGTGGAAGCCAAGATTTGATCCTTTGATAGGATTCCTGCTTTACTGCAGCGACGACGAGGATTGAGAGAGAGGCGCGGGGATGCTTTGAGGGCAGCCGACTCCGAATCTTTCGAGATCGGGAGGTACTGCGCTGCCTCACTGTCTGTCGACGCCTCACTTGGGCTTTGGATGGGCTTTTTAGGTCTTTTTAGAGCTTGGATTGACGAAAAATGAGCCGATCGTTGGGTGTCCGCTTTCTCCAAAGGGCCCTCTTTCTGTCGATGGCCGCTAACTAATCGAGCCAGAGCTTCCAACAGTCCTTTCTTCGCAGCTGCAACTTTCCTCCGCATATTAAGTACCACGCCTGACTTGAGCCGATCGTCAGTTTTTTGGTCGGCATCATCAATGCATTTTGTATTCGCACCTGTGTCGCTCTCATCAATATTCATCTCTTCGTTACTGGCATTTATTTTGGTCGTAGTTTTGCGCTTAGAACGATAAGATGACGGGTCCGCACTTTTGAGAACACTATTGATAGCAGCTCCTGCGCCTGTGACGCCCATAAACCGACTTCGCTTGAGGCAAGGCTCTGGTGCATTGGTCGCGGCCGTGACACTCCTTCCCTCCTCTGACGAGTCTTGCCGCGACCGCTTTCGCTGTTCTGAAGGGAGGATTCCCCCACGTGGAGTAGAACCTCGGCTTCGACCACGATTTTTTCCAATCTGCCCGGCAATATATTTATTCGCCATGGTACGCGATTAGAAAAAGCTTTTTGCGCTTTCGAGCTCCTCAGCGACACGCTACAGAACGCAAGGCCTTGATGGCTATGAGCAAGGGAGACTTTACCAAGCCTGTCGTGCCAACAGATCCCCTTCCCTGTCAATACGCTGACACCTACTGCTGCTTTTGAATTGAACGAAATCGGGATCGGAAATATAGTAAGACGTCCCAAATTCAAGCCAGAAGCCAGCAACACGTCCATGTCTCGCCGAGCACTCGCAGACGGCGAGGATATGGGCCACCAATTTGGCTTTTGACATTCACAACTGACTGCGCCGTAATAAAACTTTTCAAATTAAATCGCCAGGGATCACACAAGCTTGTACACAAATTCTACTTATAAATCGACGGTTCGTCACCTCCTTCTATCCTTCTTTAATTTCGTCATTTTTTCATTTGTTGTGGGTATCGCCTCCCTACATGGAGCACCCCGATGACCTTTTTGGGGAACAAGAAGAGACAATGGCAGACATCCAAGCTGAAAGCATCTTTTTGAAGGATCAGCTGCAGCGCTGCCTGAAGGAGCTCAAATTGTATCAAAACATTCAGACTGGCCGCAACAGGGCCCACATGAACCGTGCCTGGTTGAGGTCCTCAGCAGAGGCTTTGCCTGACTTCCCGGAGTGGAATCTGGACGTCGCCGCTATGACGCCCTTGATTGCCGCATATGATGGACGTATTGAGGAATTGGAGCATTTGAATGGTTTACAGGCGGAAAAGCTGGCATTTTTGGCGGGTAAGGCCGAAGTTTTGGCATTAGAAAATGAAGACCTTCATCGAGCTGCATTCGCGCGAGCCGAGCAAAGCTGTAGCTGTGAAGTCCAACCATGTCTCACAGTAGATAACGAAGAGTCTGACAGAGAGTCAACCCGGGAATCAACAGAGGGTGACGATGCAGCAACGGAGAGCACCGTCCAACATACAATCAAGGACAGAGGTGAAAGTGAGCTGGCCCTACGATCCAGCCATTTGCGTGGCGACAATGCTGCTTTGGTGAAAGAGGCCAAGATGGCGACTTTAGAGCTGAGAGAGGCCAAACGCTCTCTATTGGAGAAAGACCTTTTCATCGACACCCTCTATCGCGAGCTTGCAGAGGTCTGCGACGCCTCAAGAGGCCTCAGGGGGGACGCTACCCCGACGGAGAAATCAAGAAATTCTGAGGACCCCGCGGCCTTGACTCATGCCCATCTTCGTGATGTAAGAGCCTCTCTCATGGCCGCCGATAGGAAGATAAGGTCTCTGGAGCAGAACTTGCGGGAAGCTAAGGAAAGCCTGAGCAGTCGAGAGGCGACTTGGAGCGAAGAGCGCAAGCATTTGGAGTCTCGATACGAAGAGGCAGAGCAGCTCGCCCGAACTTTGCAGGCTCAGGTAGAGACCTTGACGGAAGAAAGCACGAGGGTGCGTTCGCAACTTGAGAGTATGGAGAGGACGCAGATGGAACTGAAGGAGGTGAGGGAGGCATTGGGATCCACGCAGCGGGACGCGACGGACATGGTAGGTGTGATGGAGGAGCTGCAGGCCCAGGTGGAAGGCTTACAGGCGCAGATTAAAGACAGCACGAGCCGTGAGAAGGAAGTCAAGGAGCTAGAAATGCAGTGTCGGGCGCAGGTAGAGGAGGCGATGCGGCAGCTAGCGACAGCGCGAGAGGGCGAGGCTCAGGCTCGTATGGAGCTCCATCGTCTTCAGGAGATTCAGACTGTCGCGGTTGCTGATCTAGGAGCAGGGACAGAGCAAGGCAAGGACAGAAGAAATGCTAAATTGCTGGAGCAGTACGAGCGGCAGAAAGAGGAGCTCAAGGAGGTGGCTGAGCACCAGGCCCGTCTGCGGGCGGAACTAGAGCAAGAGGGCTTGGAACGGCGACGGACCGATAGGTTATACGCTGAATTATGTACCGTGGTCAAGGGTGAACAAGGCGGTGTCCGAGAACAGGTGCTAGAGCTGACGAGACGATTAACGGAAAGCCACATGGCACGAGGCACGGCGGAGGCGGAAAGTACCAGACTTGCAGAGGAGCTACGCGCTCGACTTTCGGATGCAGCGGCGCGCGACAGAAAATGGGCGGAGGCTAGGCGTCGTTTGGAGACAAGAATCCGGGCGCGCGACGAAGAGCTGGCTGCCACGCGCGAAAAATTGGTAAATGTAGAGGCGACGCTGGGAGAGAAAGTGAGGCAAATTGCGCGGTTGGAGCGGAGGCAGCAGGAGGCCGAGACGACGTGGCGGTTCCAAGTGGATGAACTGCAGGACAAAATCCGCGAACACGTCAAGAATTCAAAGCTCAAGCTGTCCAAAGCTGAGTCAGTCTTGCGCGAGCAGGAGCCTGTCATGTCAGATTTCCAAGCTCGCCAAGGCCGCATCCTCCAGCGCGTCAGAAGGGAATACAAAGACGTTATAAAAGAGATGCATCGCAGCGTGGGAGAAGAGAGAGAGGCCGCCCAACGCATTTCTCGCGACAATAAAATTTTGCTTTCGAACCTGGCTTCCACGTCTCAGGAGCTAGAGGCCAGCAGAGACCAGCTGGCTTCCTTGCGTGAGGACCTTCAAACGAGCAAATTGCAGGTCTCTGAACTCAGCAGTCAGCTTTCGGAGAGTTTAAGGAGTCAGCAGCTCTTGGTAAAGGAGGAAATTCGTCTGCGCGCGAAGCTCAACGGCAAGAATAAATCAAAATGTAGCATTCGTGGGAACGAGGACAAGGAGCATTCAAGCCGTGTTGATGCTCTTTCCAAAATGGCGAGTACCCACTGCGCGGTCTCGTTGTGCCATTGAACGGCCAATGCGCAAGAGAAGAGACATGAAGAGAGAATTAAATTCTTATGCTGCTGAATGTATACTCAAAATGTAACTGTACGAATGTAATGGCGAGTATCCGAAAATTGCTGGACGATTTTCATTTGATTACTGCGCTATTTATGTACTCTCGAATTGCAAATTGAGGAATGAAAGCTGCGTGCAGCTCTGAATTTCTTATTTGTAGTGGCCGAAGGACGGGGTCGAGGCCACCGTCGGCTTGCTGCCTCTCCTCTTCTGGCGTTCGGGGCGCCGGAGGCAAAATTCCCTGGAAGAGGCCACAAAATCGTCCAGAGCCGTCGAGCACAGGCCCACCACTCATTCCCACTACCAGTCTTTCTTTCGTCTTGGCATACGTCCGACCCTGTGTGTCAGAAAAAGATAGAAGCGCCTTTCCTTGTATGTGCATCAGGCAAGCCTTCTTGTCGATGTTGATTGTGTCGGTAGAAGGGAATCCCAGGAATGTCAAATTCTCCTTTTCGATCATTACTTCTCCGTCGTCCCTCTCATCGTAAGGTACCAATGCACAGGTTTCAACTATACCATCTTCCAAAGGGATAATACACAGGTCCAGACAACTATGGTGAGCTGGAGTCCCCTCTATTCTTGCTTCGTTGCTCCATCGTCCCGCTTCTGGGTTTCCCGCCTCATACGTCCAAATCTTAATCCTTCTTTCAACGTGCTCATCTTTTACAAATTCAAGCCAGGGCTTTTTGAAGTATTGCTGCCATCTGTACGGCGCAAGGACGTGCGAGCAACTTAAAAGGATGACTTTGGTAGACAAAGCTGGTGGACCGGATAAACAAAACCCGGTTCCCTGGCTGAGAAGCTCATAATCTTTCATTCCTTGCTCGGGAAGCTTGAAATAGGACGATACACTCAGAATAGTACGGTAATGAGAGGCCTTGGTTCTTATTCCCGGACTCGTCATGCTAATATATCCCTGTCGGACGCCGTGTGAAGGCGTGGTGAGGCACCAGGAGGTTAAACACAGCAGGCGACGACACCATCCTATTTGCTTCTGCTGCTTCGATACGGGCGCTTTCGAAGCCAGCATAGGGCATGGCACTCCCCACCTTCCGAGTCTTCACATCTTATTCGTGAAAAAATATCCGTAGACAGGATTCAGGCGAGTGAATGCACGCTGGTCAATGACCCTCGGAACCGAAGGCATGAAAATAACCTCCCTGCGCCTATCACCGGCACTGGGACACAAAATGGGCAGACACCGGTCCTTCAGCGCAGGAGTCAGCTCGACCAGCAATACCTTGCCCTTACATCGCATAAGTGTGTCTATTAGTTCCTGGTTCCGACTGGCCGATCAGGGCATGTTGCAACACGAGATGCTCTGCCGTGGCACGGCTTTTGGTGTACAATTGCCACAACGGAAAAGCAAGCATGCCCCGTTGATTTTCTTTACATGCTCTCATGTGGCGGCGCCTTGGCGTTGGCCCAAGCTATATCCAGTACCTTGGCTGGAGCACGTGCGGGAGGAGCACTCACGATGTGTGCTGCATGTGACAGAAGTGCAGACAGGCCGGGTACTAGAACGGTTTTTGATGGATTCGAACGTGGTTCACCATGATTCGTTGGATGTTTGTGCTCTTCGGCTACAAGACCAAGAAAAGGTGATGCAGCGGATGGCGAAGCATGGCTTGCCGTTGCACCCACTGATCTTGAGCGAGAGGGTCCCGTCCTCGGGCAACGCAGTCGTGTCCCCCGGTTTCGCCGTGGAGCGCCTGCAAAGGAGGGCAGATGATGGGAGTTTGAGCGATGGAGAGGATGGAGAGTACACAGAGGTTGTGGAGGATTTGGAGACCGGAGGATCGGTACGGCTTGATCTCAGGACGGACCAGGAGCCTCGCCGCTTGTGTGTGAGTATGGGCACGGTCAGCCACTACAAGGACAGGCAAGCTCGGGGGTTTGCCGTCATGGACCGTGTGCTGGGGGACGGCGTGTGTGGTGCCCCTTTGTTGGATTTGCGGCAAGAGGGTCGATGTGTGGGGCTTGTGGAAGGCATAGTGCCCCCTTTGGAGGACGGGGCGGAGGCCACGCAGACAGGGTCGGGCCTGGCGGGGCGGGAGGTAGAGCTTCGAAAGGCAATTGCTGGGAATGCCGGTTTTATTTATGGTCAGCAATTGATTGACTTGCTGGAAAAAGTCAGTGACAATAAATAAGTAAAATCAGAAATAAAGCAGAATGCTCCTAAGGGTTCTCATCTAATCGTTCTTCCCAGCCTTGACGATGAAGGGCCGCAGCCGAGCCATGGTGATGGGCACAGCCTCCTCGGTACGGATGGTTCGGCTCCCCTGGTCGGGACACGTGTTCAGCCATACGTCGAAGAGTGTGTGCGTCTCGCTCGCGGACAGACCAAGCTCCGCCGTCCCCTCCACACAGGCCTCCAGGCCCGCCACCCCTCCGAACACCACCAGAAGGTGCTTGAAGGCGGGCAATACAAAGTCTGCGTCCTCAATGCTTTGATGGCCTCGTTCCGATGTGCCCACAGTCACATCGTAGCCTCCCTTGAAAGGGCTCTGCGCGAAGACCTCGGTCAGATTCTTGGCTAAGCGGGTGGTGTAGCCCCAGTAGAGCCCCGCGGTCTCACGAGGAGCTGCGGGAGAAACCGCAACACCGGACAATTCATGAGGACGCTGTTGATGCTTCTGTCCCGAGCCGCCGACAGGGTCGGAGGAGGTTAGCTTTACAGTTACGCGGACTCCCGGCTTGAGGCGGCGGTCTAAGTGCACATAGTTGCGTAATCCCACGTTGACCAGAGACCCTCCAGCGCTGTTCGCGGGGGTATCAACCGTTACACCTTCACGATACACGAGGTTCTCGTGGGCCCGCGGGTGGTGAGGGGCATCTAGAGGGCTCAGAATGCCTGCAAAACGAAGGTCCGAGTGATGTGGGAAGATGGCCTTGCGAAGATACTGAGGAGTTTCGATGTACTGTAAAAGGCGCCCAAAGAACAAGTTGGGATCCCCCCAATTATAGGAGGGACTCGCTCCTGAGCTGTCCCCAAACACCACAATCTCATCTACTTGAAAAATTGCGGCCGCTCGGGCGATCTCCCCTACTAAATACGTCCGCAATTCCGGTGATTGCGCATTGAGTACTATCGAGCCCGCCACTGCTATTGAAACAGTATAATGACGGGGAGTAAGGGATACATGTTGCTGTGGTGCCACATCCTCAACGGCCGCGGCAAGATTCGTAGCGGGATGTTTGCGCTTCCTGATGTTCGTCACTTTTTTGTGCTGCCCTTTCCTCCCATCCTGCGTAGTGAAATTTTTCCCTCCTCTTGTTATCTGCATGATACCCCCGCTCTTTTATCACTTGATTGATTTATAATTGACTTGGGGTGGTCGTGGTCTGTATGTGCGAACTTCACGAACTGAACTATTTTGGGGGCTCCTCCTAATGCTAGCTGCCGGCGGCTCGACCAAGGAGTGAATGGATACTGGGCAGGGCTGCTCTCTGCAGGGTAACATTTTTCAAGATATAAGAAGTAGGGGAAAAGGCGATTAACAATCTTGACCCTCATACCGCACATGTTGATAGAAACAGGCGGCTGCATACTTGCCGTAGTTAACTCGCTGCCCGCGACCGCCCGGCATCGCTTCGGCAGCTTTCGCCGCCCAGGCGCGTACGTGCGTTTACCACCCAGATTGAACTGCAGGCAATGCTCGCCTCTGGAAACAGGATGGAATGATCTTCGTAAGAAAGCAGGAGGTATAGTAAGAAGAGCAATTAGGAGTAACAAAAATGGCTTCAGCCCCTTATTTCTTTTTGCAACGTTGCTAAACCCTGATACACATGCCAAGACGCACATTCCAATTCGTCGTGACTTAAATAAACGATGGGGAGAAACACCTTTCATAGAAATGTGTAAATTTTCGGACATCTTTTCTTGGCTTTAAATGGCTTGTCGTTCATCACAAGGCCTCATACTGCTTTTCTGCTGCTTCGATTTACCCACAGCACTTGATACGGCTTTTTCCTGCAACTCTTGCCTCGTTAAGGGCCGATCTTCTGCATCATCCTCTTCAAATGATGGATGATTTATGCTTTTGATAGTCTTACTCACAGTATAACCTCTGAATTTGGTGGCTTGGGCATGCGGCTGCGTCGCAGCCTCCTCGTCACGCTCTATTTCCGATAGGGAGGGAGGCTGGACGGTAATGCGAAATGGTGTTGATGATGAGTGAGCGGCTTCATTTAATGAGCTAGTAGCATCTCTGCTCTGTCTCGCACGATAGAGTTGAAGGATTTCGATGGTACGCTGTTCGATGAAGCCCAAATATTGCATCATATTTGACTCTGTTACGCCCTGGTTTCCCAGAATCTCCTCCATGGGGGTTGTAGTCGCACAACCTAACCGTGAAAAGATTGAGTGTATGCTCGTTTTTAGCTGATTAATGGCTTTGGTGGCGGCAATGTACTTGAGCTCGTACTCATCCGCTTTCGCTTTGATTTGCTGCTGGCGTTCTTCACCCGCCCGGGCCAAGCGTTTCTGCCTGGAGTCAGCGTTGCTACCCTGGTCTTTATTTTTCTCTATTTCATTTTTATTCTCTCCAATGAAGGATTCCAGTTCATCGATTTCCGTGTTTAGGTCATTGACATAGTTGAACAGCGAAAAATTCTTCTCTTCAGCTTCAAGAAATTTCGTGACCATCTCTTCAATATCAGCGAGTCCCGTTGCTTCTTGTACTTGGGCGAAAACCTCTTCATATAGTCGTATTTTCTCGGGTGTGAGGGACAGTAAAGGAGCCGTCGTTGCACCGGATGATGATAGTGGGACTGCGGATGCAGTGGCGCTGCTTGACTTCTCATTGAGAGCGTTCCTATCGGGACTGACGACTTCACCAGGAATGCCACTCTCATCCCCTTTTGATTGCTTGTTCACATCCATTGGTGAATTACCAGAGGAGTTATCTCTTGGCTTACTTGTCACCAGGCCAGTTCTTCCTGCTGGGCTCTTGGAGCGATGCGACTGCTCCGAGAGACGTTGGCTCCGTCGCTCGGCTTCCATCGTTTTCTGTATGGAATCCCTAGCCTGCCGATCCTCTTCAATCAAACGGCCCAACTCTGCCCACTCTCTTTGAAATTCGGCCTTTTCTTTTTCAGCCTGCTGCTTAAGATTATTAATTTCGCTCTTTGCCTTATCCCTCGCGACGCAGACCCGTTTTGCGTCCTCTATAACTTGCGCCATCTCTTTCTTCTTTTCGTGAAGGCATCGTTCTAGTCGCTTGTAAACATTGTCGTAGACAACTCGATCCATACGTAGGCGGTCGATTCGTTCTCTAAGCCTCTTATTCTGTTAATGTGTCATTGATAAGTCAACACGCAAGCGTGCGCATGCACATGTGTGTACATGAGAGATACAGAAGGAATGAGGATAGTTGTACACCTCTTCATTTTGGAGAAGGCGTCACAGTATGCTCTGCACTTCGTCCGAATGTTGTTTCCTGTGCAATTCTACAGGTCGTTGCCCTGGTCATCTCCAGATTTTCGCGCATTTAAAATTGCACATTAAGAACATTTAAGGTTGCACTTTTTATACACTCACCTCTCCTAGAGCCTGATTAAATTTCACCAACGTTTTATCTAGTCGATTTTCGAGGAGTTGAGTTTGCTTTGCTAGTATTGCGTCATTTTCTTTTGACGCATTTACACCTCCCATCTTCTGTTTTTGCTCGAGGACTTTCATTTGTGCAGTATTTACTTGCTCTTCTAGCTCTGCCACCTTGCGCTATGGTGCAAATATAAAGCTAGCGAGTGAGTTTCTGATTAGATATTGTGATGGTTTTATTGCGCTTCGTACCCTTTCCACCTGAATACGCCTGAAGTACATTGCTGCCTGATCTTGAAGGCGCGCCACCTCTTTTGACACACCCGTCTTCACATTGATCTTGGCCTCAC